TATAATAAAAACATACTTAAAATATATAAATAAATATTATTAAATTATTTTTATTAATTATTTTATTTTTTATAACCAAAATATTATGTCCTTATAACTGAAATTTAATTTAGATTATGTCCTCAATTATGTCCCTATCAAATAATTTAGGGACCCATCTTTAGTTATAGTTAAGAAGACATAAAAAGTATAAACTAATTACAAATTAATATAGAAATCACAATAATATATAAAATGTATTTTTCTTAAAACAATAAATAGTTTTTTCTTTTTTGTAATTCCACAAAAACATTTTGCAGTTTTTAAAAAGGTTTTTTTGCAGATTATTATAAATATCCACATGTAAATATACATATACTATATATCTTCATTTTTATTTTTTAATTTTAATAGATTTAGTTAGAATCAATAAGATATAACTAATCTGTAGCTGACTTTGTTAAAATGATTTTCTAAGTTCTTGTTTATTGGATGGCAGATAGAAACTTAGAGATATACATCTTGACAAGTTAGTTCTCCACCTATGCTATTAGGGCTCAGGCATTAATGATATAAGAGGCATGAAAAATAACAAGTCAATTGATAGGTAGCTTTACTATTTTAGAAAGTTTAAGGAATAGATAAAGTTTAATATTTGTTGCAAAGTATGTAAAAGAACTCATAACAGTATTCAATAAACAAGGTATATGCCAGTTGTTATTAAAAAAAAAAAAAAAAAAAATTATATATCTCTATAATTTATATTTGTTTGATATTTAGCAAATATTTTTATATTAATATATTAAATAAAATTAAAAAAATAATAATTTTTTTTTTTTAATTGGTTAAAAACATTAGATGTGAGACTTTATTGATATTTATATATCCATCATTACATCAAATATCTTTATTCTAGAATGTAAATTAAAATAATCATTTTTTTTAAAAAATTGTTTTAATAAAAATAAATCTATAAATAAATCTAAATATAATAAATTTCTTGAAATAATTGATAAAAATCAAGGAAAAGTTTTATATAAAATCTTATAAGCAGGTTCGTTATATCGTTTGACTATACTTTATTATTAAAGAAATATACCTCTTAAAAATAGTTGATTTTGTTATTAAGAAATTAGAAACCTACTTTTGCTTTAAATAACGATCTACAAAGTTTCACAAACACAAAGGGTTAACTTTTTTTGAATTCATTTGTTTGTTATACGTGAATTAGCCTAAATTAGGAATAATTATTTATTAAGAATTACCCCCTATTAACCCCCAAGTTCTGATCGATGCGTGAATGAGTTGATTTCTTTGTTCTTTCCGTGAGCGCCCCAATTCGCATCCTCCTCTTTTGCTTTTGTATATTTCAATAATGGTGTCTTGTTGGGTATCTAAGAAGAAAAAAGAAACAGATCCGGACTATCACGAAAGTTTAGCTCATACTGTCAAAGATATTATTTTAGGTTCTGATCATGTTTCTCATGCTAAACGACGCAAACGTGCTGTTAAAGCACTGCAAAATGATGTCACCGCACTGGGAATGATCACGTATCTGAAGGCGATGCCAGATCCTTCTTTACCCAGCGTTGAAGTTACTGTTATTGAAGAAGACAATTCGCCTCCCCCACTCCCACCTCGAAAAGACAAGTCAAAAGAATCCTCAATTAAGACCAAAGAGAAAGTTGTTGTTGGTGGTAGTACCGGCGTTAGCACTTCATTGTTCAAACCACCTCTAGATCAAATTTCTGCCTATGCATTTTGGTGGGGTTATGAAATATATATTCCCCAACAATGTATGGGGCGTTTGGATCAAGCTCAAAATGTAAGTAACGCATTTGTAGGATTTTTACAAGTAATAGCTGGCAATGCATCCGCAATATCTCCATACTTTGGGTTTATTTCTGCTTGGGTTGGTTTGCAATTTACCGTTATAAAAGCGCAAAATGCTGGTCATGGCGTTGTCCTCGCAGCAACTTGGTAAGAGATACGATGTTTTTATGTATAGTTTTATCCAAGTGAACTATGTTTATATGTAAATACGTTTTAGGGTTTTGCCAGTTGCATTAATACCAAGACCTTGGTTAGTACCATATAAGATTTTCTTTAATTACATTTATAATTCATATAATTATAATAATTTTTTCATCCAGGGATGCACCGACCGAGTAATATGCTAATCACTTACATAACTTATTCGTCATGAGACAAATTTCCTAACGTTATTTAATATTACCAAATCAGATTATATTTAAATAATGATCAATGATATCAGATATTATTTATAATTTAAACATCACGTGACCAAATACTAATCAAAGTATAATTTATAAAATATATGTAATTTGAAAATATTATTATAATATTAACAAATCTTGATATAGATTTTTATTTAATTTTTTGTAATATTTATAAGAAATATATTAAAATAATATTGTATATATTTGCTTGTAAATTTTTTTAAAAAAATTAATTAATTATAATTTTTATTAAATAATTTATTATTATTATTATTTTTTTTTTTGGGAATTATCCCAGTAGGTAAATATCATCTCTTTATTTGATTTGTATATATCAAGGTATACATTGTGAAAAAAACAACATTTCTTGGATGCATTATATATAAAAAGTTAAATACTAGCTTGCCTACTTGTACCATATTTAACTAATATCATAAAAAACTTCAAAAGCAATATTAAAATAAGTAGTGGCTATGCTTATTTACTTGAAAAGTTATTTAGTGAAAATTTTTTTTTTGAATAAAAGAAATTGAAAAGAAAAAATTAAAAGTAACTAAAACTAAAACTTCATCAAGTAAACTATAAGATCTATAAGTAGAAAACCAATTATTTTCTTGAGAAAACCCTCGGATAGACTCATTGTCCCATTTCTCCAGCTTTTTAATTACTATAGATAATAGAGTACATGTGATGTTGTTTGTTGTTGAAGTTGTTATTGTGACAAAAAACCAGGTTGAGCTGACACAGTTTTTGTTTTGATTTTTATGTAAAATTTGATTAAATAATTGAAGGGTGCTAATTATCTGAAGAGATAAACTGATTTCAATTTTTTGTTTGAAAAATTTTTAGAAATTAAAAATGGCGCAGCAAATATTACTGTGAAAATATTGTGTGTGAGAATTGACTTGAAACAAACAGTAGACCCACTAATTCTGTTTGAGTGTGTATTTTGGAAAATGTATAATTTAGTGAATATAATAGTAATAAGGTAGATGGTTTTTATAATATAATAAGAATAAAGAGGGATGCAAGAGAACTAAAAAAAAGAGAACTGCCACAGGCCTTTTCTTATACAACCGAAAGATAAGCAAGATTCCTAAATTTAAATAGACTTTGATCAAAGATCCCATCCCACTGCATCAGTTGTTTGGAAGGTTCTTGAGTTTTTAAACTGAGGCTTATTTGCAATAAAGAGTGTAAAACATTTTTCTTGCTTAAAATTATTATAAAGGAAAATTTTTAACAAAACAAATGCAATCAGAAGAGAGTTTTATTTATTTATTTATTATTATTTTTTAAAGTAAATAAATATTATCAAGTTAAGCAAAAACTTTTTTCTATTTTATTACTATATTTTCTAATTAGAAAATTTTCTTTAAAAAGAAAAAACTTATCAAGTTTTTCTTTCAAAGTATTTCAAACATTAAGAATAATATTACTATTAAGTATAATAAATCAAATATATTAAATAACATTAACTTATTAATTTATAAATTATAAAAGCAAACAACTTTATTTTTTTTAATAGGTAAGTATTATCTCTTTTATTTATTGTATTATACTATAAAGTTATATATATTATAAAAGAAACAATATTTTTTGGATACAAAGTATATAATAAATTAAATGCTAACTTGTACTAGTTGAAATTAATTTATTTGACATAATACTACCTATTAATTATTTGTTAAAAAAGTATATAATTCAGCAATCAATCAAATTTATATAACTTTTATCTTTGACTATAAAGTGGCATATAATTTATTTGGCATATAAATAGTATACTTTTTTTTAAATCTCATTTTGAAAAAGTTAATATTTTAACAGTAAAATAGATAATTTATTTTTTATATTAAATATATATATTTTTTGACTTTACTAAATTATATTACTTTGATGAATTATATTACTTTGACGAATTATATTATCTTGTTAAATATACAATATATTACAAAACTATACATGTAATTAAAATTATTTTACAATTGACTCAATTATTTGAAATTTTTATAATGTTGCAATTAATATGCTGCAAGCCACAATTGTAATGCAATTATATAAATTTGCCATAATTAAATCAATATGATACAATCATGTAATTTGCTACAATTATCAAATTTGTTGCAATTGTGCTACAATTAAATTAATATGACACAATCATATTATTTGCCACAATTATAAAATTTGCCACAATTATGCTACAATTAAATAAATATCACGCAATCATATGATTTGCCACAATTAAATTAATATGATACAATCATGTGATTTGCCATAATTAAATTAATATGATACAATCATGTGATTTGCTGCAATTGTGCTGCAATTATTAACCAATTAAATTTAAAAAAATAAAAAAAAATAAAAATAACAAATTTATTGTTTTTCTATCCATCTATCATTAAAAATGCAAAGTGATGATAATCAAACAGTTTCCTCATCATTCAAAAATACAGTTGGGTAATTAGAATTATTAGCTTGGCAATATTTTTATAAAACAACTATTGATAAAAGTCATAAACACTTTTTAATAACATGTCATTATTGTAACAAAAAATATTAGCAGGGTAAACCAAATATTCTTGAAGACCATTTAGCAAGTAAGTGTATATTTTGTCCAATTGAAATCCAAAATGAATTTTTGGAAACAATTGCTAATAGAACAGTTAAGAACAAAAAAAACCTATCAAAAAAACCAAATTAGATTCAAATCAATTACTATTAAGTAATTTTATGAAAAGTATCAAGTTAACTGATGCTAGAAGAGATGCAATTAATATAGCATTGGGAAGATTTTTTATTATCTATGCAATTCCTTTTGCAGTTGCAGACCATTTATTTTTTATTGAATTTTGTAAATAGTTTCATCCAGCTTATAATTTATTATGTTATATAACAATTTCCACAAATATTCTTCACTCAGAGATAACAGCAATCCCAATCAAAATTCAAAAGAAATTACAAACAGAGGAAAATATCACAATTGCTTTGAATGAATAGACAGATCCCAGCAATTGCCAATTGTATAATTTTATTTTGATGACATCTAATAGATATGAATATCTTTAGACTATTGAAGATATATTATCAGAAAGTATTATTGGAGAGTTTTTGGCCAATTATGTTGAAAAAAATCCTCAATACTATTGAACAAAATAAAATTGCAGGATTGATTACAGATGGTGCAGCTAATTGTAAAGTTACACAAAATAATATTGGTGAAAAATATCTGTGAATTATTATTATGTGGTGTATTGCACATCATATCAATTTGATTTTCAAGGATATATGCAAGCATCAGTTTGCTATTAATACAATTAATAAGTGTCAAACATTGGTATCATTTTTTTTGAGATCACATCAAGGGATGAGTGCACTTCAAAAATCTATTAATGAATTAAAAATCAAGAGTGGAGGTATCAAAACATCAACCAAAACAAGATGGTCAACAATGTATAATTTTTATAAATTAATTATTAGACTTCGATCAGCATTTGAAGATATAAGTATTTGAATTTTTATTAATTTAATAATAAATTTAATTATTAATTTCGAATTTTAATTATTAGATCTTGAATAATAAACCTGAAATATTAAGCAATAATTGTGTAGATATTATTATAATAAGAGGGTTTTTTGAAGATGTACATCAGATGATTACAATTCTTAAACCAATCAAGAGTGTGATTTCAGTTTTAGAATCCAAAACAACTTTAGCGAACTGTTTTGTGCAATTATATCAACTGGCTCATATTATCAATCATATTTCTATTTCTATTCCGATTTCAGAGGATTTTTAGAATTATTATATTGATCAATTTAATAAAAGATGGAACGAATTTAAACATCCAGTATTTGTATTAACTTATTTTTTACATCCTTTATATTGTGATAAGTTATTGAATCTTATATTCACTATTATATTTAATTTATAAATTTAATTTTATATTTAAAATTATGGATTACATGACAGTTATTTTAGAAAAAATTGCTTTTATGTTGATGATTTACTTAAAAAAATAGAAGGCAATAAACAAGCAATTTTGATGTTAATTTTTTAAATACGAAAATATTGGCTCAAAAAATTTCCATATAATTTATCTTATGACACTACAAGAGATATTCCTGAAATTTGATGAATGACTTGTCCTGAAAGACCTGCATATTTATAAAGAATTGCTTTCAAGTTACTTAACATTATATCACATTCAGCCAATTGTGAAAGAATCTTTTCTGTATTGAGATAGTTCTATAGGTAAAGAAGAACAAAGCTAAGTTCTAGTAGAATTTCTATAATAGCAAAAATTCATTCTTATTATATATCAAATACTAAAAATCAACTTCAGTATTATAGAAATTTATTATCAAGTGATGAAATTCAAGATCAGATGATCTATGCAACTCAAAATTTGATGAATTTACAAGAAATTAATGATAATGATTCTTTTGAAACAATTTTATTAGATAATGAAAATAATATTGAATCTCAATTAGCTGAAAATTTGGTAAATAAAAAGGAATTAAGAAGGGTTTTAGTAATAGAAGTTTGTATAGATCTTTTTAATCAAATGTTTATTGATAATGAAATTTATGTAGATTCGGAAATTAATGATTTTTTTGAAAATTTGGATAATAATAATAATAGTAATAATAATTTTATTGTAGAAGATTTAATTAATCAATTAATTTTTTAACAGATTTTGATGATAATTTTGTAATTATTCCAAGTTTCAGGTTTCATGTC